GGCTGGAGAGATGGCTCAGAGGTTAAGAGCACTGGCTGCTCTTCCAGAGGTCCTGAGTTCAATTCTCAGCAACTACATGATGGCTCACAACCATCTATAATCATATCTGGCACCCTTTTCTGGTATGCAAGAAAACATGTAGGCAGAACAATATATAAGAGTAAATAAATAAATCTTAAAATATATAATTTTACTTTTATATATATATGCATATAAGAATATATATGTTAAATATGGAAAAGAGTAAATAACAGACTATTTCTGTCTTAGAAAAGGTTTAAAAATTGAATACTGATGTTTCTAACCCAAAGCCTTAACAGTTTATGAAGCTTGCCAGCCTGGTGAAGGATGCCTGTTCAGACTCTTAAAATAAACGAGATGGCGAGGCTCCGGGTGCAGTAGTGAAAAGGGCAGCTGCTGGTGGCTGTGCCTTACCTAGGAAGAGAGAGGCCATGGTTGCTTCAGCAGGGCTGTAAATACTTAGACCAGACCCCAGGATGAGAGGGGCTAGTTGAGAGAGGAGTGTCCTCTGTGGTTCTCCTATGTTTCTACACATCTCCCGGGCAGAGACACCGAATGCCTTCATTCTGAGCTACTCTTCTCATCGTGTTTCTGCTGTGCACGTCTATGGTTGATAGAAATAGTGACTTCCTCCAGTGCAAGCGGATGTATTCGTCCCTATAACGCACTCGGGCTCCCTAAGCCCAGCTCCTTCTATGATAATTCACCGTGACAGACGTCACGTGGCCCACAGAAGATACAAAAGTGGCATCAATGCTGTCATCGCTGTTGGTCCTTTAACTTCCACTCGGGCATCTCTCTCCTCTCTCAGCGTCAAGTAAGGCAAACTGTCAACCCTGAGTCAGTGTTAATCTGATGTTCTCAAGAGGGGACTGGAACAGCATGCACTGTGGCACCAGGCCATGAGAACCCATGTCTTAAATGGGGGCTGTGACTGGCGCTGTGTCTTACAAGCCAAAGAGTGTGTGCAAGAGGACATTAGGGAGAACATTCCAAGAGACTGTTCATGGCCGGTGATGACCGAGAGAATAGCAGAAGAGTTCTCTAGGGGAGGGAAAAGGTCAGATATATTTATATGGTAGAGACAGGACTGATGGGATGGGGGAGGAATCTCAGAGACTTTGGCCAGCACTGTCCATCTGGAAGGCTGCCAGAAGGTCTACATGATAAAAGACTGATCTTTCAAAAGCCATGACTGGGAGATGATGGGACCATCAGGAGGTGGGCCTTGTTGGAGAGGTCTCCGAGTTATTTAAGACTGTGCCCTTGAAGGAGATGGTGGGACTCCATGCCCGTCCTCCTCCTCTCTTTTGTTGGTGTGAATTAAGTGGCATATCTCTGCCCCACCCTCCTGCCAGAATGACCTCCATCACTTAAAAGCAACAACACAAGCAACCCCTCACAGACTGAAGGTCTGCAGGTCGCAAGCCAAAGCAGCCCTTTTCTCAGGCTGCACGTTGATTGTCTTGGGTGTTTGCTATCGGGATGGAAAGCAGCGAACAGATTAAAAGGAACAGATGCTGTTTTCTGGGATGCAGGAGGAGTTCTGGGGAGGAGGGAGACTGCCTTAGTTACAAAAACAAACAACTGCATATAGGCTGAGGTGCTTATTAGCTCGGAAGGTGAGGTAGAAATTTGAACGGCTGATTATAAAACAATCTGTGAGACCAATCCTTGGGAGTTATTAGAATGTGTGTGATCCACGTGTTTTGGGGAGAAAGTAGTCAAGAGGATGGCCTCTGGGACCAGATGCAAACTCTTCCATGTAACTTTGTGACAAGCTATCCAAGGCCTTTGATCTCCAGGTGCAGAGAGTTGCCTCTAGATGACACATGTAGAGTGTGTAACGCTCATTGAATGTGTTTGTTGGCACCAAAATATATTGTCCAAAGGAAAAGCAGGTAGGATAAGGGCAGAGACTGGGGATCCTCAAGAACCTGAAAGCAAGTACCCAGAGTTAACACAGGTGCAAGAAGAGTCTCAGGGAGGGAGGTGTACAAAGGCTGGGGAGATGACTCAGGTAAGCCCTCGCCCTGCAAGTGTGAGGGCCAGAGTCACAATCGCCAGAGCCCTCGTGCATGCTGGATGGGCATGGCCGCCGTCCTATCATTACAGCCTGGGGAGGCAGAGGCGGATCCCCAGAGCAAGCCAGCCATGGAAATAGCTGGAAGCTCTGGGCTCAATTGAGAGACGCTGCCTAAGTGGATAAGCTGGAGCGGTGCTGGGGGACCATTCCCAACACCAACATCGTCCTCCATTCGTGCGTCATCTCTGCGTCCACCAACACACATGCAAACGTGTGTGCACAATGCTTATGGCTGCGGGAAAAGAAAAAGAAGAAGGGAAGAGTGACCTGCCTGAGAGATCCATCAGAGGGTGCAAGGCAGTGGAAGGACCACTTTGCTGTCTTTGGATTTCACAACCTGGAAGACTCGAGTGGTTTTATGCAATTTTCATGACTCTCCAGCGCAGATGAGGAGTTCCAAGCAGAAATGGATGGGCAACAGGGAGAGAACACAGCAGGAGGAAAATATCTGGGAGAAATTTGTGTGAGAAAAATGAAAAGGAAGACTTGTGGCTGAGGGTGGTTCAAAGTCAAAGGAAAATACCTTCTCTTCCTTCTTTGTCATCAGCCTCCTGTTTAGGATAGAAGATAATTCTCTCATGCGCTAAGAGACCCCTGAGGCCCTACACTGTATCAGACTCGGTGTCAGGTAGTTTAAAGTATCCCTGAGGAGGGCCTGCTCTGTCAGGTAGTGGGGAGTCGGAGCAAAGAGGACAGCTGCGGTCCCTTCATGGGCTTCCTCCTGTGTTGGTACTCCAGAGGGAGGCATGGAGAGGGAAGGCTGGGTCAGGCTGGGGTGAGCAGAGTTTGAGATGCTATTGGCAACTGAGCTTTGCATAAAAGTGTTTTGCCATCCTCTGGGATGAGCTTTAAGATCCATCAAAGGTAGTTGCTGATAATAGAGAAAGGAATTTAATCCAGAGGGTTTGGGTTCAGAAGAGGTAACATTGATATCTATTGTTTTAGTTTAGGCTCTATTGCCCTGAGGAGACAACATGACCACAGCAAGTCTTAAAAGGAAAACCTGTAATTGGGGCTAGCTTACAGTTTCAGAAGTTTAGTGCATCATCATCATGGCAGGAAACGAGGCATGCAGGCGCTGGAGAGGTGGCTGAGACTCCTACGTCTTGATCCACAGACAGCGGTAGGAGAGTGTGTCACACTGGGTGTGGCTTGAGCGTAAGAGACCTCAAAGCCCACCAACACAGTGACACACTTCCTCCAATAAAGCCACACCTACTCCAACAAGCCCACACCTCCTAACAGTTTATTCAAAGATGTGAGTCTATGAGGGCCGTTCCTGTTCAAACCACCACAGTTGGTAGAGTGGTCAAGAATAAAGTGAGGGCTTACAGTGCATGAATTAAACAAATTTTTGCCATAGTGTTTGCAGCATGATAAGCTCTAAGTATTTCATATGTATTTAGAGCTTATATATGTTATATAACTGAATATATGTTAATAGATAGTATGAACCTCTAGGTCACTGGTTCTCAACCTGTGGGTCATGACTTCTTTGGGTGTTGCATATCTGATATTTAAATTATGATTTTCACTAGTAGCAAAATTATAGCTATGAAGCAGCAATGAAATAATGTTATGGTTGGGTGTCACCCTAACAGGAGGAACTGTATTAAAGGGTCATGGCATTAGGAAGGTTGAGAACCACAGTTCTGGATAGATTCAGGAAGGGTCCTTTAAATTCTGAGTAGAGGAGAGCCTCTACTCAAAGCCCATGCCCCTGTCCTCAGGAATGTCTCGCTTTCTTCCCATCTCCTTTCTTTCTCCAACGGCTAATGTGTAACACTTATATTAAAATATCTTTAAACACCAACCCTTTTTCGGCTGAAGAGATGGTTCAGTGGTTAAGAGCACTTACTGCTCTTACAGAGGACCTGGTTTGCTTCCCAGCACCCACAGGAAGGTTTACAACCATCTGTGACTCCAGTTCCAAGGGACCTTAAAAAAAAACTCTCCTACCCCCCAAACAAACAAACAAACAAACAAAACCCCAAACGTTAAAAAGTAAAGTTAAATAAGATATGAGTATACATACCCAGGGGCTGTAGGCTGTTGGTAGAACAGTAGCTTGGAAAGAGTAAGGTGTTGAGTTTTTGTTTTAAAAGTAAATTTGATAGAATGCTAGGTGACTAGGACAACTTTTGAAAATCTGGTTCTGTAAACTATGACAAGGTTTGGTTGATATATTTTTTCTTTCTCACAAGATTTTTTTTTTTTCTGGGGGAAATTACCTCTACTGAATTTTATTATCTTAGAGAAATTCCCTGAAATAAATTTTAAGTACTCCAGTAGGGTGTGTAGCTGCCAGAGCTGTCTCATTTTCTCCCGTGCTCTCTCTCTCTCTGTGTGTGTGTGTGTGTGTGTGTACACATATGTCGGCATGTGTATATGTATGTGTATTAGATTTGTTCATTTCCTATGTAGTGTTTTGCTTGCACGTGTGTCTGCACCAGGCATGTGCTTAGTGCCCCACAGGTCAGAAGGGGCGGTCAGATCACTGGAACAGCAGTTACAGATGGCTGTCAACCAACAAGATACGGTGAGGAACTGAGGCCAGGTCCCCTGTAAGAGCAACAAGTGTCCTAACCCCTGAGCCGTCCATCTCTCCAGCCTCCCCCTCCTCCTGCCCTTTTTTTTCTTCCCTGGCATTGTGAGGCCCATATTCTCCAGCAGATTCCCAGCAGGGGCTTTGTGTCCCACAATGAGTGTGACAGTTACACCATTTCTAGGTTTAATGTGTAATGCAATTTCAGGAAATCTCATTCTAGGAAGGGTTTATTTGAACAAATATCCATTTCTTCTTCCATTTCAGTTTCAGACTGTTAAATTCTGGAGTAATAACTCTGAACGCAGCGATTGCTGTGACTTCATTAAATTCTAATGCCCTGTTTTTTCTCCCCCAGGATTCTGCCCTCAGAAGCATGTGAAATAGATTACTTCATTTAAAGTAGGAAAATAGCGGCGCGCTTTTCTGGCTCTCCAGACCCTTCCCAGGATGGAGGCCATCACATTCACAGCACGAAGGCACGCATTCCCTAACGAGGTCTCCGTGGACTTCGGCTTGCAGCTCGTGGGCTCCTTACCTGTGCATTCTCTCACCACCATGCCCGTGCTGCCGTGGGTGGTAGCCGAGGTGCGGAGACTCAGTGGCCAGTGCTCCAGAAAGGAGCCTGGGATGAAGCAAGTGCGGCTTTGGGTCTCGCCCTCCGGACTGAAATGTGAACCTGACCTGAGGAAGAGCCAGCAGTGGGACCCACTGATCTGCTCCAGCATCTTTGAGTGCAAGCCTCAGCGTGTCCACAAACTGATCCACAACAGTCATGACCCGAGCTACTTCGCCTGTCTTATTAAGGAGGATGCCACCCAGAGTCAGAGCCTCTGCTATGTGTTTAAAGCAGATGATCAAACAAAAGTAAGTTGAGGCGGGGAGAAAAAGACAAAGCCTGGATGGCCGCAGAGCGTGCTTGGGGCCGGGGGCGGCTGCTCAGCCGAAGTCTACTGGAGTAGCGAGAAAACACTGCCGTCATTCGTAGGTTGTTTAACAGAATTTTAGACTTATGGGAAGAGTTTCTAGAGCTTGTTGAAGGATGTTTATAATATATATTTAAAATTATAAGCTTTGGGTTCGGAAATTCAATGGGAAGAAACCTGCCTAGAATTATAAATAAGAGTTGAATTGTCAGGATTCGTGTTCCTTAAGACTTTTGCTTTAAAGTTTCTGTGTGCACATGAGACACGGATGATAGGGGTTAAAGTAAAAACAAAACAAAAGATCATGGCTCAATGCTTGCTGGACCCCAAGACTGTGTTTCTTGTAAGTGACTAGGTGAGGGCCAGGCTACTCCATTGCAAACTGCATTTTGAATAGCGAAGTTCTAGGTCAGTGATCTCCACACTCTTTAATCCCATTACAAAAAACTTAGTTATTTATAAAGCATATAAAAATACTTTAGCCAGTTTCCCAAGACATAGATAACATTTGCTCATACAAAGGTCATTGATAAGATAGGAATTATGAATCTAAGTTTTGATATTATCAGGGTCCTTTTGTGTCTTTTTCCTTTTGCCAACATATGGCTAGATCTGATGACCCTGATATCATGTTGTGTCTGAGAGGAATGTATGAAGTGAGGTCAAAACTCTATTTCCTTGCCTATTTCTGCTTGCACTGCTACCCGAATTATTTGTAGTTCTTTGCAGTACTTACTTCAAGTCCGCTTGTCCATTTCATGAGTATCAGTGCATGTAAAAGTGAAAATAGAATCCATATAGCCACTTTCTTAACTGGACTCATGGATGAAAATGTAGTTTAGTACAGTGCACAGGAAACAGTCACAGGCCCTGCAGCTAACCTCGTGAGTGGCCTGAAGGATGTGTCATGTGACTGGAGCCGTAGGCCACTTGGACTGAGTAAGGATGCCAAGGTCCCTGTGGGAATGGCAGTGAAGCCTGTGGTTCTCATGCTTTCCTTTCTATATTTTCTTTTGCTGTTTTTAAAGGCAGGTTTCATGGAGCTCAAGCTGGTTTCAGACTTAAACCCTCTATGTAGCAGAGGTTGGTCTTGAACTGCTAACCCTCCTGCCTTCCCCTCTCACATGCTGGGGTTGCAGGAGTGCTCTGTTACGACCGGCGATGCTTTCATAATTTCAAGTTTAAAGTGAGATTAGAAATGCCAGGATTTTTTATTGCTCCTCCTAGGCTTGTTTGCATGCTCTCCCAGGTGTAAGAGAAATCTAGAAATTGATGTTCTTGTTCCCAAGGATAGCTTGACCCTCCGTAGCCACATGTTTCATGTCAGTGGATTCAGCTTACAGCAGAAAATGTTTGAGAATGTTTGCCAAGAATTTGCATTCATGCTGAACATGTCCAAACACTCTTCCTCTTGCCCTTATCCTCTGACAATAGTATAACAATTTGCAGAGCACTGGCGTATGTCAGGCATTATAGACTGAGGCTATTTGAAGGATATAGGTTGTGTGGAGGCTATTTGCGAATTCTGACATTTTATACGAGAGACTAGAGCATCTTACAGGTTGTGGTGTCTGTGGGAATCCTGAAATAACTGCCCCGAAGATGTCAGGGACAAGCAGGAACTTTGTGGAAACTCACACTTGTGTTTTCCTTTTGCTCACTGATGGATGGTTACTGCTCTGGCTAGTGTCTCAGAGGTCATTAGCAGAATCGAGGGGGAAGACAGGTGCTCCGGGAGCGATCAGGTTCAGTGGTGCATGCCAAGAGCATGAGGAAAAGGCAGGGTGAAGTCTACATGCCCTGCGTGTAGGGAAGAGGCGTTTTTGTTTGTCTGTGCTTGTTGGTGTGGCACTCAGAGTGGCCATCCTACTCGAGTGCCTCAGTACCGTGAACCATACAGTGTTGGATGCCTCATCTCAGATAATGCCCCTCAGGGTCACCCTTGAAAGTTCAGAGAGACCACTTCTGGATACAAATCCTGTCTCTGTTACACACAAACTGGCGACCTCAAGCAACTGAGTGTGTTTGCTCATCTGTACAATGGGAATGGTTGCTGGCAGGGTTAAGTGCGGTAGGATGGGATCCGGAACTGAGTGTGCTGGCTTGAGGTTATAGCAGTTGCCCGGCAGATACAGATCCCTGGCCTCCCTGTCAAGCACTGCCAAGAGAAGAAAGGAAACCACCACAGTACCAAGCCTTGATGGCCATGGAGAGTTCTCACGGGGATTTGGAGTTGTATTTATTTATTTATTTGTGTGCATTTGACGGGGGAGGTGTACATGCCATGGGGTATGGGTGCAGGGTGGAGGAAAACTTTGTTTCATAGCCTGTCCTTCTACCTTATGGGTCCTGAGGACTGACCTCAGGTTATCAGGCTTGGCAGCAGGCGCCTTGTGCCCCTGTGCCCTATCAGCCATGGAGGCAGATAGTGTGCTACTCCCGCTCCAAGGGTTGGTGAAAAGAGAGTAAGTCTATGGAGACGTGTGTCTGCAGTTCTTGGGTGACATGCTTGCCATCCTCGACCGACATTTTATAAACTCAGCTCTCACGAAACTCTATGACTAAGTCCAAGGGTTCCTGTTATTTGGGAAGATTCCAGAATGAGAAGGAGAGGTTCAACAGTGTCTTTGGTGATGCATTTTTCATGGAACATATGTCCGGCACCTCACACTTTTGGCTCTTTCCCCCAGTCTTTCCCAGACATCTGCGAAGAGCTCTGGCCACTCGCTTGGACACCTGACTGAAGAGAGAGATTTATAAGAAAATTTTGTAACCAAGGCTTTCCGTCTTGCCCCAAGTAGAGACTTAGTCTTCCTCTGTATTCTAAAAGGCCATCTTTGAAGTGTAAATTAATTAAGATTATTTTTTGGCTTATGTATAGTTTTTACCAACATCAGTTGTCATTAGAGTGTAGATTGTTGCCACCCACTCATTTTGTTTGAGAGGGTTGTTGATAACATGGCTGCTTAAGTCAGGCATTTTGTTCTTGTCAGAAATGGACTAGTAAATGACAGTGGCCCTGAATTTAACTGACATATCTATTATGCCCTCTAGACACCTTGGCAAGATGTCTCCTAACAGGATTATCTGTTGCAGGAGCATGCTAACCCACACTGGCGTCTCTCCACTCTTCTGTAACATTTTCTCACTGAAAGAATTCTCCAGATTAGGGCTTCTTCTTAGTGGATGAGGTCAGCCTTGATTGTGCTTGCCAAAGCCAACATGCCGTCCCTGCCATGGGCGTAGACAGAGGAGAACTGCTTGGGAGAGAACCCTTTGGTCAGCATCTGAGTTAATTTGCTGCAGACTGTCTAAGGCAAATAGGCAGCTAGAGAATTATTTTACAGGTGGACCATGATACGGCCCTGGCCTCATGTGTCTCATAGAACAGTGTGGAATGACTTCACAGAGCAAAGGTTCCATGCCTGGGTAGCACCTGAGAAGTTTTGCCTGAGGGCCACTGTCCCCTTTAAAAAGTTATCAATCAGTCAGCAAAACGAAGAAGTTACCAATACCCTGGACAGTGTGGGTGGATATGGCTCATGTCGATCAATACGTGCTTTGTTAGAAATTGAAACTAAGATAATGTAAAAATACTGATTTTAAATTTATTTAAGCATAAAAGCAATGAGTTCCTTACATGTTAACATAAACAGCAGTTCAGGGACTGAACTATATTTTCCATAAAGCGTTTAGCAGTAACAGTGGCCACTTTAATTTTTCCCCGACCTGTGTAATGCCTGGTTTAGGAGAAGGGGGTCGGTGCCTCGTAACTGCCTCTCCATTCGTGCTTTTCGTGGTGTGTCATTTTCACTGAGCATCTGAGGAAAGCCTGGCTTCAGTTGGGGAGGTAGCGAACAGGCGGAGAAGCTGTGGTGACTTTAATGCTGCTACGGCTCCGCAAGCGGTGCTTCCTGAAAGCCTGGCTGCTGTGCAACATCTGCGTCCGCGTATAGACACGTCTCTGTGCTGAAAACCCACCGGTTTATCCTGGGCTCTGATGAGTGTTCTGAAGCATTCATGATTCTGCACCCTCGGGCACTGATTTTGGAGTCTCCTTGAATAACGTAGTGCGTGCGAGCATGTCTGTGTGTGCAGGTGTCCTCGGAGGCCAGAATCTCCGGGGGCTGGAGGTACAGACAGGTGGGAGCCACCAGACGTGGGTCCCGGGACCCTTTCAAAGACCAGTAGGGCTCTGCACCCCTGAGCACCTCTGCGTATCTCTATTCATAGTTTGTTATTTCTGTTACTCTGTGCCATGTGAGTGAATGCCACATGGATGTGGCACCACAGAAGCCAGAAAAGAGTCTCGGATCCCTCAGAGCTGGCCTTACAGGGTGGTAATGAGCTGCCCCTCACGAGTGCTGGGAACCGAACTGCAGTCCTCAGGAAGAGCAGTGCGTGCTCTTAGCCACTGACTGGTCTTCCCAGCACCACAGTGGCGCCAGGTGTTTTTAATTGCTCCTCATCACATTGGAACCTCGCTCTTCAAATACCATTCCTGGCTCTGCTTCTGGTCTTCTGGATTTGTTGTCCAGCCAGAAGGTGTCCTTTTTTTCTGTCGATAAAAGAGATGCTAAGTTTGAGGAGCTGATGTGGGGAAAGGGGAGCAAGGGTTGGGGTGGGAAGGGGCTAGCAGAGTGAAGCCAGGTGCCTTTGGGGAGATGCACGTCCGGAAGTCTGCTTGGAGCAGATAAATGGTGCTGGAGAGGATGTATTTGTAAACAGCCTATGAGAGAAAAGGTTTTCCTTTTCCAGGACACTAAACTACAGTTCTTTTTAAAGTTTCTTATTTATTACTTTCTGCGTACATGATACAGCGTGTACAGGCGTGTGTAGGACATCCTTATGGAGCTAGTTCTCTCCTCCTTGATGTGGGTGTGAGGAATTGAACTCAAGTTTCCAGGCTCGCTCTGCAAGCGTCTTTACCCACTGAACCAT